CTTTGTTGTCACCAGAGGTCTCCCACTGGAGGACTTCTGGGACCCAGTGTGGGTAGCCTCAGTAGGTGGCTCTTTGTTCATAAACAGCTATCCTTTTGTCCCTAGAGTGGCTGGGGCAGGCCAAGTTCCCAAGGAACTCTTTGGGCGTCTGTCTGGAGGGACAAGCTCCTCCAGGTCCCACCTCCCTGTAGAATGCACTGGACTACTAAAGTCCCCACCTCCTCTGCTCCTCTTTCAGGGACCGCCATTGAGTTATCTGATCCCTTCTGAGTTTGACAGATGAGCCAGTGTCTCAAACATGAACACTGGTGGGCATCTTTTACGTGGCCCTCCATCCAGTCCTATTTGTGTGTTCAGTAGCAAGTAGTTCATACTGCATATTGTGTAAGGTAAATATCAAACCCAGGGCAGGGGCAGGTGGGGGGGGGTCGGTGTTGAAGGATAGGGTTGGGGGCTGCATCCTCACCTCTAGTCTATCTGGAAGCCACCCCTTTGTGTTATCAGTGGCTCTCTCGGAGTGATGAGGTCAGTGGGTGCTGTTGCCTTTGTCTAGTTCTGAATCATCTATTTTTCTGCACCCTCCCTCCCCGAGTCAATAATCCTACGAGTATCCTGGGGGTTCTGTGTAGTATCTCATCCCAGCACACACATGGCAGTACTGGGCACATAGTAAAGGTCTGGTTGAATAGCAGCTAATACTAAGACTAGCAAGCACCGCTTGAGAAGTAGCAGTCAGCTTTTGCTTCCAGTGGCGAGCAGGTGCCCACTTTTCCACCTCTGTCCTGTGACCAGGGCTTGACAACTTCCGGGCTGAAGTGTCTACTGTCGGTTGGGGTCCTGTGCTCCAATATCGTCCACCCGGGACCTGGACCTCTGGAATCTGCTGACCCCACCGCCCTGGCTGGCCCCACCCGCTCCAAGCATGGGAGGGAGGGCATAGATTGGCCCAGGAACTTGTCTGGCCGCTCCCGCCTTCTGTCTACAGTCGGCGCTTCCGCCGCCGAACTCCAGCCTCCCTATGGTCGCTGCTCTGGCACCCAAGGAGTCCTGGACTCCGCCCTGCCAACCGTGGGGGGTCAGGATTATCCCAGCACTTGGGTAAGACCCCCGCCCCACACGCACGTGTCACCCTTCCTCTTCTGGAAGGGCACACGTGTCCCTGGCGTCTCAGCTCGGTGGGTCGCCTTCCTGTGCAGCTCTCAGGTTGGTCTCTGCTAGGTACGGTCCTCTACTCAGGCGAGCGTTGCTTGGGTGCTGGCCTCCATGAGGATGGGGGAGGGCCTCAGGCTGGCCACCGGGGACCTGAGGGTTCAGACTCCCCAGAAGGTGCGCCTTGTGATGACTTACTCGGCATAGCGTGAGGTGAGAACAATTCTTGAGCAAAAGCCAAATCTGGAAAGTTGGGCTGGGTCCAGACCCTCAGCAGCTGGCCACGTGGGAGGTCCACTCGCACCAGGAGCTGGCAGAGACTAGATTCCGTGTATCAGAACCTATTGGGCAGAATGGTATTCAGGGTTGGCTAAACTCCGCTCCCCACCTCCGTGAGCGCTGCCTCTCCTTTCCCTGGGGCAGTTAGTGGGCTTCCCCTTGCTCCCCTTTAGAGGCTTTTTCTCCACAAAGCGTGGGGTTTAGAGCGAGTGCTCGACTCTGGGCTCTGAATAGTCACCTCCGTTTCCTCTTCTGCGGGTGTCACTACTCTTTTCCTCGCCCCTCCCTTCACTGATGCCCCACCCACTCTTTATCTCAAAGCTTCCTTTAATCTGCCGGGCCACACTGCCGGGCCCCAGAGGCTGTGTGACAGAGAGGGTGACAGTATTCCTGCAAGCCTTCATTTGATCAGAGGTTTAAGCAGGCAGGTACTTCCGTTCACTGTGTCCCCTTGTAAGATTGCTAGATGCTCATTGAACGTCTGTGTTCAAGGCTCTCACTGTGAAGGGACAGGGTGTTCTGATGAATCTGTGCCATCTCCACTGCCAGCTTACTTGAGGTTAAAAAAAAAAAAAGAGGACACCAACATAAATCAACTATAGAGAAAGAGCACTTGGTAGGGAACGTGGTCTTCCTCCCATGCACAATGCCCTGGGCTCGAGTTCCAGCAAGGACCAGGGATACAGGACTGTGAAGTGTGAACAGGCCCATGCTTCTGTGCAGACTATTGAGGCGGGGTCGAGGAGGCTACCTGAAGATGGGACATTTCAGCTGCTGTTGCTGTGGCGACAGACTGTCAAGTCTCTGGGTCTCCTTATCATATCCCCACCGTATTGTGCCATTGATCTGTCTCTCTGGTCCAGCAGAATTGACATCTCTAGGGGATTTGTTAGGCAGGCTTAACTTCTGCTCTACTGAAACAAAAACCTTGTCGAATGGGGGCTAGAAAGATGGCTCAGCAGTTAAGAGAACTGGCTGCTCTTCCAGAGGACCAGGGTTCAATTCCCAGCACCCACATAGTGGCTCACACCCATCAGTTCCAGGGGATCTGATATCCTCTTCTGACTTCCAAGGGCACTAGTGGTGAAGTAGCTCACAAACATACATGCTGGCGAAACACTCATCCATATAGAATTAGAAAGAAAAACAAAAAACCTGGGTGGAACCCAGCACCCTGAACATTAAGGGGCCCTTTGGGTAGCCCTGCAGGCTGAAGTTTGAGCCCTTCTAGGACCTAGTACAGGCACCTGAATATGAGACTGTGGTCTGGATGTTGGGGAAGGGGCTCAGAGATGAGGGAGATGTGGTCCCTGTCCTTGAGACTCCATGGATGCCCTTGGAAACATCTCTGTAGTAACAGGTGAGGCAGAACCTCTGAGGGCTCACAGGAACCAGTTCAGACAGGATATTGCTCTGTGAGTCGCAGGAGCTTCTGTAGAGAGATTGAGCTCTCTGTTGTGCACTCCTGAGATTTAGCCTCACTCAAGCCCTCTCTGATGTCTGAGTGAAGCTCCTCCCACAGGGTGCCTGTGGCAGATTCAGCCGCATGGGGCTCTGGACTTATGGTCAGAAGCTGAGTCTAGACAATTTCCACCAAGTATGTCTTTTCGAGCATCCTTTTCCATCTCTGGTTTTTACTCTGTTTGTGTCTAAGATAGAGGCGCTGGACTGAGGCTGGTGAGCCTGAGGCTGGTGAGTCTGAGGTGGTCCTCCGGAGAGAGGGGAGCCTGGGGTTGGAGGCTGTGAGTTGAGTAGCTGTACCTGACATTAGGTATGGACTCAGTAAGATGAGCTGAGTCCAGGTCTCTTGATCTGCTGTCTTCCTTGCAAGGCTTCATCATGTTGGGCCTGCTTACCAGGCACAGAGGAGCCACAGTGCTTAAACCCTGTTGCTGGTCTGTGAGTCCCTCTGTGGCAGGTTCCTGCTTTCCCTAAGGTGGCACTCCCCAAAGCCCAGGACTGTGCTGTCCTATCAGGCCTTTCCCCATACCCCTCCTCCCAACCTGCCCAAGCCCATTCAGGCTCTAGGCTGGCATGAGTACCACCTCCTCTAGAAGCCACCTGGATCTCTCTAGTCCTCAGTGCCATGTGTGCTCTGTGTGTGTGTGTGTGTGTGTGTGTGTGTGTGTGTGTAGGCCAGAGTTATCTTCTTCAATTGCTTCCTCATCTTTAAAATCATTTTCATTGATTTCAGTTATTATTATTGAGTATGTGTGTGTGTGTATGCCAGCGGGGCACATGTGCCACACATCTGTAGAGGTCAGAGGGCAACTTTGTGTGGTCAGTTCCACCACTGTGTGGTTCGGGTATTGTTGGGCAGTGTCTTAGTCAGTGTTCTGTTGCTGTGAAGAGACACATGACTAAGGCAACTCCCATAAAAGGAAGTATCTCATTGGGGGCTTGCTCACAGACTCAGAAGTTTATCATCATGGTGGGGAGCGTGGAGGCCTCAGGCAGACATGGTGCTGGAGAAGTAGATTTCCACATCCAGATCCACAGGCAGGGCAGCAGGTCAGTACCGCAGCTGGCTTGGGCTTATGAATCCTCAAAACCAGTCCCCCAGTGACACACTTCCTCCCACAGCCCACACCTATTCTGACAAGGCCACACCTCCTATTTCTTCTCAAACAGTGCAACTCCCTGATGACCAAGCATTCGGATAAATGAGCCTATGGGAGTCATTCCCATTTAAACCACCACAGACAGTGAGCACCCTTCACACGCTGAGGAGCCTATGGGAGTCATTCCCATTTAAACCACCACAGGCAGTGAGCACCCTTCACACGCTGAGCCTCCTCATGGTCTCACTTTAGTTTTTGAGACAGGATCTCTCAGTGAACCTGGAACTTACCCATTCTGTTAGACAGGCTAGTCAGCAAGCCCCAGGGATCGTGTGTGTGTGTGTGTGTGTGTGTGTGTGTGTGTGTGTGTGTGTGTGTGTGTGT